AAGAAGCAAGAAACTTCGTGAAAAATTATGGGCTCACAAACTCTTTGTTCATACACTTTGTGCAAATTTATTCTAAGTTAAAAATCACAGTTGTGATATAGCTTGATTAGAAGCAAATTTTATTTCACTATCTGTAAGATTAAACTCTTGTAATTATTCCTTGAGAGACCAAGTTTGGTTAGATTTCTCAAGCAGACTAGGACTAGATTTAAGTCTTAGTGGTGTTAGTCACTTGTAAGATTACTTGTTCATTGTTAGTCACAAAAGTTGTTGTATGTTTGTAATCAGCTGATTATAGTGGATTAAGTCCTTGTTGAGAAAGGCGAAATCACCTTGACGGGTGGACTGGAGTAGTTTGAGTTCAAACGAACCAGGATAAAAATAACCTTGTCTTTCCATTATTGTTGAGCTTTGTTTTGAAAAGAAAAAGAGTCACTTATTCAACCCCCCCCCCCCCCCCCCCCCCCTTCTAAGTGTTTTCTTACCCCTTCAGTAAAGAGATACCTTAAGGCTCAAGAGTACCCTAAAGGGGCATCTGTCAACAACGAGAAATTCCTATGGAGGTTCTCTGCTAAGTTCTTCATGGGCAACAAAATTTTATATAGGCGCAACCATGACTCGACTCTACTTTGTTGTATGGACTTAAAGGAAGATGAGAAAATCATGGAAGATATGCATGAAGGTACCTTCGGTACTCACTCTAGTGGTCATAGTATGGCTAAGAAGATTCTAAGAGCAGGTCACTATTGGTTAACTATGGAAACCGACTGCTATCACCACTGAAGAACTTGTCACAAATGCCAGATATATGTTGATAAAGTACATGTGCCTCCAGTACCTCTGAATATCTTGACTGCTTCTTGGCCGTTTGTAATGTGTGGCATTGATATGATTGAAGAGATCAAACCTATCGCTTCCAACAGACATCGCTTCAAGAATTGATCAGACAAATTCTCCTCCTAAGCAAGGAGTCCATAACTAGGGTTTTGTATTTATCAAGGTAGATTGGGTTTCCAAGGTCTCAAGTGGTTTTCATGGTTCTTCAGATGTCCTTATGAATGCTCATATAAAGTTTCATGCCTTGCATCACAAGTTTGCTCAGTCAATTGCTCAGATGACTAAAATTCAACTATATTGGGTAAAAAGTCAATTATGGTCAACATACAGTCAAACCTCAAGATTTTTTGTCAACTTAAATATTTTGAAGACATATTCATCATGTGATCAATGGTTGATCATGATTCCTCAATAAAATCCCTCAAATCATCAAAATTTGCCAAATTAGGGTTTCCTTAGGAGAAGTCAACTGAACTTTAACCAGATATAACTTTCACATGCTTCATCAACTTTTCCCCAACCAAAGCCTGTTTTGAAGGAAATTCAATTCTCTACATCTTTGTATCTCTAAGCTCAAGTCCAAAAAGTGCTTCATTTAAGAGATATGGGTCAATACATTACAGGTCATTTCAAAAGTCAACAAAAAGACACTTTTTGTCAAGGCAACTTACATCAAGATAAAGTCTCATAATGCAAAAATGATCAAAAGAGAAATTGTAGAGGACATCTTGAGCTCTCCAAAGAGTCTAAGATCGCCTTCAAAAGATGAAAATTGAGAGAGTTATGGCCAATTCAAGTTGGGAAATTTTGAGAGAATGAATGAATTCCAAATTGAGCAAATTTGTAATTTTGGGCTATTGGGACTAAGTTTTCAGATCCAAACGTGTTCATGACATGTTTAAAGACCCATAAGTCCATTCATGCATTATATTTTATTTTTATTTTATTTGTTTTGATAAAATATAAGATCAATAGGTTAAGACATGTGGCCTTTGCTATGGATCATATTTAAGGCCCGAGATTACATGTGCAAGCTGTCGAATTCGTGCAAGGTTTATTAGTGCAAGATTGAGCCAAAAATAGAAAGTTTCCATGAAAATTTTCAATAAAAATCTTCACTTCTTAATGACATGATTCTTGTTACTTTTGTTAACCTAATTTGATTTTCCTATATATACCTAATAATACCAGATGCAAAGGCATGTGAAAGCTGCCTCAAAAACCCTAGCGAAATTCTCAAATTTTCAAAGAATCAGGGAAAAGTAAAACTTTTATCTCCAGCCCTTGCCAATCAATTCCAGGCATTCAAGCGCATTCCTGGAATTCCTAGGAGGCGATCCATACCCTTGCTCAAGCCTGAAGCACGCCAGAACTCCCTCTTTCAAGCACGCCGGTTGGGTAAGGTTTCGTGAAACCAAACTTTTAAACCATGTGATTTACATTGAATTAATGCATATATACATGTTCATGCTGATGTTTGTGATTGTTTAAAACCATTTTTTGTAAACTTTTACGAAATATATGATTGCCATCGTTAGGGAATCAAGAACAGATTGCTTCGAAACTCATGATACATGGATCTTTAGCCAAAACGAAGTGCACCATTGGATTCCTGGGAAAATTTTAAGGGGAATAGGGTGTTTTGTTGGCTTTGATTTTGCATGTTTTGTAGGTTAGAAAAATCTTTTCGCCGGAGAAGACGGTGGAAAACTCCAAAGGTGGTGGTTTGAAAGTTTGACCAATGGCGTGGCACAATGGAGTCTCTTGATTGGCTCATTCAAATGATCCAATGCCTCACTTGAGTTTGATTTTGTTTTAAATTAAAAATAAAAGCCTTCTTTATTATATAATCATTTATTTGTATTTTAATCAACGGATGTACAACTGTCCCAGAAGTAGAAACGCGTGTGATAAGGCCTTAGTATACCAGGGCACGGGTTCGATCCTTGCCTTTTTTATTTTGTGTTTTTGTATTTTCATGTTTGCAGATCCTATGCGAGCCACACAACGCGTCCACCATGCTCTTTCCATTCCCAGCCACTAGATCTTGTCATCATCCAATCCAACGCTTTTGATGGGATCCCCACGGTGAACCTCCAGGAACCATTCACATTGAATCTCACGCAGGCATACTGAGCTTGTTGTTTTGGGCCTAATGAATTTCTTTCCTCACACCCCCCAGTTTTCTTCAATATAGGCCCAGTCTCAATTTTTTTATTTAAATTATTGTTCTTTTTTTAAAACATAATTAAAATCATTATTTTTCTTAATTAAAATTAACTTAAACCTTAGGTTTTTTTAATTAATTAACTTAATTAATTATTTTTTAATTAAATTAATTTAACCTTTTTCATTTAATTAATAAAATTAGTCAAAATTAATTTAGGGTTTGTTTATTAATTTTTTTTCTTAATCAAAATTTATTAATTAATTATTTTTCTTAATTAAAACTAATTAGGGTTTTTTAGTTTAAGTATCTTTTTTCATCAAAACAATCACAAAACAATTTCTTTTCCTTTTTACTGCTTCACGTATTATTTTTCGCGTTATTTTTCTCAATTATGTATCTGCTGCAATATATAATAGTTTAATTAGGATTTACTTTTTCCCCCGATTTTATGCTTTGTACCCCCTTTCCTGAAGCCTTGTAATACCATAGATTTTTATTTCCCGCACTTTACTGCTTTATTATTGCTATTATTGTTTAGTTAATAGGATTGTATGGCAAGACTAAAAGCAATAGCTAACCCTAAATACAAGATAAATAAACCGAATTAAATCACTTTTCACACACGCACCTCTAGGATAACCTCACTTGTTGCCTTCAGATAACAATGGTCATGTCCCTCGAACGTAGGGATACCCTTAGCAAAGACCCTCGATTAAAATAATCATAAAGATCATAGTCCCACTATGTCCCTCAAGTTGCCTACAAGAAATGATATTGTCCTTCGATGTTGCCTACGAGTATATGATGACAGTTCCTTCGAATTTATAAGGTATCCCTATATGTTGCCTTCTATGACCATAACGATGATCCATGCTTGTCCCTTCACATCCAACGATAGGGCTTCCTACTAACTAATGGTAGGGTAGCACTATCTAAAGGAGGAGGAAAATAACACGAAATACTTTTGAGTATGTAGATCACTCGTAATCGCTTGCTCGCAAAAACAAAACATCTTTTTCACAAACACTTCTTCTGAAATATTTTCAAAAATAAACACTTTGTACGCATTCTTAACTGATACAAGAATCATTACAAAGTTGCCATACTTAGGCATTTTTCAAAATATTTTCAAACAAACACAAACACAAAGCATTTTCAAAGTGAGCTAGCGATTAAGAGCCCGTAAATAACTACAGTTGAAAAGGGTGCTAACACCTTCCCTTTTCATAACCTACCCCCCAAACTCAGAAAATTCTCAAAGGTCTTTCATGTTCTTTTCACCATTTCCTTTATTGGATAAAAGAAAAGTCGGTGGCGACTTTTGCTATCCATAACATTTGCGATAAAACGCAAAAACAAGTCAGTTCTTCCACCGTATTACAGCGTCCAAAATATACCTTGAAGCCAATGCCTCTACCAAGACCACGTACACGCCCAGGATACCCCTCGGTTCCAATCACTTCTACCAAGATGTTATGACAACCTTGTGAAGTGAAGAGGCCGACTTTGGTTTGTTCAACAAGAACATCCTACAACACATTAAAATTTATATTTACTAAATTGATTTAACTAAAATAAATATTCTTGAAAAAAGTATCTACTTACAATCCTTTAAGCCACTTTGCACGTAGAATCTGATGTGTACTCGCCATCTTTTCTTTGGCGTGCCCTCTTCCATTTCTCGCGGCATGATGATAGAGATGGATTTTGATCAAGACTTATAGAATCTCCCAGCTTTTCTTCCATTTTTTTCTTTTTTCGTCCATCAATTTTTTTTCAATTCTTTGATATCCTCCACGAGACAACATATGTGGATAGATATTTCTAGATCTATTTTTCTTTCTTTTTTGGCTCTTTGCTAAGAAGTCAGGAGTTTTGTGGGACTCTACAAATTTCTCCCATGTAGCTCTATCAGTAATGAATATATGTCGTATGGAAGCGATTCTTTATGACATTTAATAAAATCTTGGGTGAGTTGTGTCTTAAATCCCCTCTAACGCTCACCACAATAAGAAAACATTTTTGTTTTCACGCACTTATCATTTGGAGTAACAATAAACTGATCCTATGTTTACACAATAGAGATGTTATAAGTATTGCACATAAAATATACTTGTAAAACAAATGATAGAGTACAAGATAAATACTGTAATATCGGTCCATATGTGGTTTTTAAATGCATCGTCAATGTCATGCCAATTATTTATCAAAATACTCACTTTACTTTTACCATGTAACGCAATGTAACCCAAAAAATCATCAGCATGTTCACCTTCAACCTTGTCGGTTTCTGCATCAACTCTAACCGAGTATCGAATACTAGATTTGTTGGCTTTTTTCACCTTTGTATACATCGTGGCACCTCTTGTTTTTCATTTACGACTTTGTGTATTAATAGAGTTTGTAGTATATGTTGTGTGGGAGGTGCTTGTCGAAATGAACATGACTATCAAGATGAATTAAACAGTAACATTTCACAAATGAAAAATCATAGAAACAAAATAATCAATAGACAAAGTAACAAAGAAACCCTAGACAAAGTGAAGAACAAACCTGTTGAAAAAATGATGTTTGATGAATATTTGTTGGAAGAGTTTTGATATTGCCTAGGGTTTATTGCAAAATGAGAGTGACGAACTGACGTTTGAGTGCTGATAGGTAAACGAAAAGTTAGAAACTAGCTAGATAGTTCTATGAAGTATTTCATATAAAATAAAATTCATGTCAGTTTTACACAAAAACCAACGTGGTTGTTTTATTAAAAATATAAAATTTAAAAATAACTTCATAGCGTCATATTCTGGGAATTCATTTAAAAGATAAATCACGTCGGATATTTAGGAAAGCCGAGGGATTAAAATATATCAAATAAAGTATTAAAATAACATTTTGAAATTAGTATTATGAAATTATTAATACAAAATATATTACGTCTCAGTTGAATCCTGTAGCCGAGACAAATACTAATCGAACAAATAAAAAATAAATAAAAATTGAAATCGAGAAAGCGTCAAGTGAGAAATACCTATTAAACAATTGAAAAAAATATATAAAACGCAGCAATTGGATATTGAAGCAATGGAAAGTTAGAATATTATATAGAGATGTGTTTGGAAAGGTAGTTGGGAGATTGATTGAAGTGGGTTCTATAAATGGTGGTGAAGGAATTGGGGTGGTGGTTGTGCACCAGTGTTTCTCATAGTAGCATCAAAATTATATTGAGTAGTTATTGAAAGTGCAACAATGTGGGTAGGGATGTGGCCAGAACGAGCACAAATATGAGTTATAGGTGAAACAATAGGTGTAATATTAGGTTTATAACTAAGGGAAATTGAGTGTTGGCAGGTATGTCAGAAAGAGATGTTGTTCTGTGAACAGTGGTGACATGTTATTGTCCATTTTGAGTCATTCTAGAATAGTCATAATAGATTTATTTCTAGAATTTAGAATTTGTTGATTGTCCATTCTAGTATGGATGTTTCCCAATTGTTGTTCCAAATTCTGCCTAATTTCTCGAAATCTCTCATCCATTTGATGAGTTGTATGATTGATTGCATCTTAAATGTGTTCATGATCAACTTGAATAACATCACCTAAGTGCTTAAGTGAAGGATTTGTAGCTAACACGAAAATATAGATCTAGATTGTAAAAAAAATCCATAAAAACAAACTTCAAATTTTTATTAACCAATCTTACACCATAAATAGATAGGATTTAAAATATAAATGGATCATGTGCCTCTTTTGAAAATAATATAAAATTGATTTAGTCAACCAGTAATAAAAGAGCCATAGTTTAAATATCATATTCATTGAATAACTAGCATTACAGACACAGTCCAATAAGTTACAGACTATATATATATATATATATATATATATATATATATATATATATATATATATAGAGAGAGAGAGAGAGAAGTTTTTGTCGATAATTCAATCTTCATTCGAAAGATTGGTAGCAATACTACAAACCTTATCAGGAAAAGCTTCATGACAGATTTCATTGAAGACTTTAACGATCACACGATGATAACATGATTCATTCAGATGAAGAAAGCACCTGAGAAGATCTTGAAGATCATCTTCGGAATCGATCTCATTCTCGAAGATCATTTGAAGCATGGAGTGTTTGAAATCATGATACGGATTTTGAGAGTCCTTCTCGACGGCAACGGTGTTCATTAATGGACTCTGCTTGGGTGCGGAGTAGTTGTTTACTGTATCGGCTTCCGAGAACGTGGTGGTTGAGAATTCGTCGCTGTCGTCGACGCTGCAAACGGAGTTGTTTCGGTCGCCGGAGGTTGTTGTAGAAGAAGTTTTGCTACTTGGACTTGTGACCTTAGGTTGTTTAATGGAATTTTTTGACTTTAGGGTTGGTTCGTGGACTTGAATGGCTTTTGGTTTTACGCATGATCCACAGCTACCATTTGTTGTGAAAATTGTTCTCATGATGTTTTTCTTGTTGGAAGACATTATAGGAAAAAAAAAATGTAAATGACACACAGAGATGTTAGATATTTATATAAGTAATAAAAATAGATGGTGTTGAAAAAAGATAGGGGACAATGATTTTGAATTTTGGTGTTATGAGAATCGAAAGTACAAGAAAGATGGATATGTTAAGGTAGAAGGTGGTGTTTGGTAGGATTCCTTTTCGAACTAACTATGTGATGATGAGGTGAGGTTTATATAAAAATAGATGGTGGTAGAAAACGGATAGGGAGAATTAAATTAGTGTGAGTTGGATTGAAGATGTAATCAAATTGGGATCACTATTCTCATAAGTTACAATTTGCAGCATTTATATATTTTGGATTGTTTCATCAAGATCCAACGGTTAATATTTAAATTATTTTTTAAATTAGCTTTTTTCTATTTGCATAATTTTGATGTTTGTACCTTTTATGATAATGATGGATATATATAAATATTTGGGAAAAGTAATAAAGTTAAAGTCTGATATATTTCTCTGTTATAAGTATAAAATAGTTGTTATGAGTGTAATGGATATGTTAGTTTGATTTTGCAGAAAATATTTAAATTTGAAGCTATAAATAATAGTTGATTTGAATTAATTTGGTTTTTGTAATATTTTTTCATAAAATTTAAATCAAATTGATGAAGAACATATTGATTTGGTTCAGTTAAATCGAGTTTATAATCTTAAAAATAAAAAAATAAAAAAATTTATAATTTAAAATAATCAATTTTTAATTAAATAATTACTTTATATATTACTAAAACAACTACATAATTAATAATAATAATAATAATAATAATAATAATAATAATAATAATAATAATAATACATAAACATAATAATAATAATAATAATAATAATAATAATAATAATAGTAATAATATATGAGTATAATAATAATAATAATAATAATAATAATAATAATAATAATAATAATAATAATAATAATAATAATAATAATAATAATAATAATAATAATACATGAGCATAATAATAATAATAATAATAATAATAATAATAATAATAATAATAATAATAATAATAATAATAATAATAATAATAATAATAAGTATAATAATAATGAGCATAATAATAATAATAATAATAATAATAATAATAATAATAATAATAATAATAATAATAATAATAATAATAATGAGCATAATAATAATAATAATAATAATAATAATAATAATAATAATAATAATAATAATAATAATAATAATAATAATAAGGTTACCTTAGGGTTACCGGTACCAACCAAAGTACTACATCAATGTAGCTACTGCTTCAACCGTGTCGGTATACCCCACACAGTTCTCTCACAGTTTATTGCTACTTACCTAGAAGGTGTCCCCAAATTTGGGTGTAGGATTTTTAACAGTAACCCAAACAAGGACCCATAATGTAAAGTAAATAAATCGAACAATGTAAGCAAGTAAATATGATCTAACCCTAAGGTAACCCCAATTTTAAGTATATATCCCCAGCAGAGTCGTCAGTTCTGTGATACGGTGGGAGAACTGACTTGATTGTTTTTGCGTTTGTGTTCGCAAATGTTGCGGTTTTGCAAGAGTCGTCGCCGACTTTTCTTTTATTCAATAAGGAAAGGTGAAAAAGCACAAAAAAGACCTTTAGAGATGTTTTCTTGAGTTCGTGGGGTAAATTATGAAAAGGAAAGGTATTAGCACCCTTTTCATCCATGTTTTTCCATGGGCTCTTAGTTGCTTGCTAGATCACTTGATTTTTGTTTACATGTGTGCTTGTGATGTGGGTTTTGAAAGTATTTTGAAAATGTGACTTTGTAATGGTTCTCGTCTCTATAAGAATGCATACAGAGTGTTGTTTTGAAAATAGTTCAAAAGAATGTTCGTGAAATGTGTTTTGAAAGTGATTTTGAAAAGGGTTTCCTTTGTAATGGCTCTCGTTTCTATAAGAACGCGTACAAAGTATTGTCTTTCGAAAATGTTTCAAAGTAAGAGTGTTGGTGTATAATGTTTTTGTTGTGAGCAAGCAAGCAACTAGGAGCGAATCTACCTACTCAAAAGGTCTTAGGTGTTCTTTTCCTCCTCCTTTAGATGTTGTTATCTTACCATTGTTTTGGTGAAAAGCCCCGTCGTTGGATGTGAAGGGACGGACGTTGGGACATTTGTATAGTCATAGAAGGAAACTCATGGAACGTTTTAGCAATGTTGTTTTAGGGACTAGATCGTTTACCGAAGGCAACATCGAGGGACTACGATCTTTTATCGAGGGTCTATTGCTAAAACACCCATGTTCGAGGGACATGACTATTTTTTGATAGGCCACAAAGTGAGATTACCCTAAGGGTGCGTGTGTGCAAAGTGTGTTTGATTGTATGATTTTGTCTTGAATTAGGGTTTTCTATTTGATTGGTTTTATCTTGCCATATAAACCCTAATTACTAGCATATTATATAAAAGCGATAAATTGCGAAATTTTAAGATTACTACGTTATTACAACACTTTGGGGATGAGGGTACATATTTACAAATGGGGGTTGCAAATAAAATTAAATCCTAAGTTACTATAAAACCATATTGAAATGTACAATATAAGAAAGAAAAAAAAGGACTTGTTTAGAAAATGTTTTTGTCTTAATGAGAAAAAAAAAAGAAATAAATTAATTAATGAAAGAAAATATTTTTATGTCTTTTTATGTTAATATTAAAAATGATGAAAAGGGAAATAAATGAAAAAAATTGAAACAGCGTGCTGTTGCAAGAAAAAAAATAAGGATCAGAAGTTCTGAAGCCAGACGCGTGATGACTCAGAAAGGAACGTCAGTGGAATCAGAAGTTCTGGACTGGTACACTCTGAGGTCCTGCAAGACACGTTGGAGGGAAAATACAGAAGTTCTGGATTGCTATGTGCTGAACTTTTGAATGTTAGAACAGTGAGAAAACCTTAGAAGCTTTGTGCGTGTCAAAACAGTAGGAAGAACTCAGAAGTTCTGTATGGTGCTAAGATAGTGAACGAACAATCAACAGTTCAGCGTGTTATCAGCACATGTAAACCATAAGTTCTAAGTGTTAAAACATTGAGTGAACAATCAGCAATTCAACGTGTTATCAGTGAGTGAATATCAGAAGTTCAATGTGTTTAAACAGTAAGGAGAACTCAGAAGTTCTGTGTTGTGCTAAAGCTGTGTGTGAACATCAGAAGTTCTATGCCATATTTCAACTCTTAATCAGCTCATTAGCAATTTATTCAGTTCTTAATAAACAGCAAATTAGAGGGATAATAGAACAACAGTTTATAGAAGTTCTAATCTTAAATCTGAGTCTAGCCCTAATCAAGAAGTTATGATCCACATTTTTTCTACTTACGCAGTGATATGGACAACATCAATACTATGATATTTACAAGTTTGATGATGTTCTGAATGAAAAGATGCAGAGTCAGGGAGACTTACCTTGAATCCGGAATGTGGGCTTAGAGCTTTGAGCTGCTGCCTTTAGATGTTCTGGTGTCAGCGACAGTAACAGAACAGTGGTTATGTTCTTTGATCCAAAAGGAAGAACAAAGGTTTCGTTTTCTGTTTGGGAAATCTGGATTTTTATGAAGGTTTCACAACTTCCTTTTCTCTCTTTTGGCCAATCTCTCTCCAAAAGCCAACAGGTTTTTGTAGTTTGTGTTTGCAATTTTTTGGACTCTTGGAATTTTTGCAGGGGTTCAAGGTTTTTCTTTCTCAAATTTCCGACCTCTTTACAGTTTCCAATGTAGTTCAATTTATAGGCAAGGATTTAGTAGCTTGGAGAAATCAAAAGTACATCCATCATATGCTAGGCGCTAACTTGTTCTTGAAGAAAATTCAAACAAGTATGGTTCAAGGCACAAAGTAAGGTGGTTAGCAGCTTTTAGCCGTGCCTAAGCTGGATTTGTCAGCCAAAATTAAGGAAAATCAAAAGCAACACATGGGCCTAGCACCCTTTTGCATAAAAGTTTACTTTCCCAAGACAATAGAGGTACACGTGGGGGAAATCCTTTGGATAAAGACTCAAAATTGGTTGTGAGAATTAAATGAGCATTAAATGATGATGAAAGTTATCAAATCAGAAACCCTGCTATGTGAAACTCTGCATCATTGCTTAATTCTGGATCAGAAGTTCAGCTTCAGCGTAACATCCAACCTCTGATCTTTGTATCTCCTTGCTCAAGTCATGTTCTGAAGGAGCTCTCAGACTTTCTAGGAAGCTTGCAGCATGCTTCTTAACCTTCTTTGAATTACCCTGGCAAACTCTGACTGAACCTTTGTGAAAACTTGCCCAGAAGTTCTGACCAAACTCTGTCTTGAAAGTGTCCAGAATTTGCTGAGTGTTTCAGTTTCAAGGACGTGTCTTTAAGGAGTTATAACTTGAAATCCCAGCATTTCTAGGAGAAGTTTTGTTCTGCAATGTTTTAGATCTCATTGAACTCTACAACTATTGAATCATAAGTTCTTCCAGAATCATCCTGCATCATGATGAAAATCTGGCCAGAAATTCTGAGCTTGTCATATTTCCTTAAACACTTAGAAAAAATTCTAAGTATTTAGAATTTTGACTTCTCCAAAGTAGTTTTGACTTTTGAATTTCTTGATGAAACAAACTTCATATTTTAACATGTCTTGATGAAATATGATTATTGAAATTTGATTTTGGTCCAAAAGTCAAAGTTTTGACTTTTTAGTGTGCAAATGACCATTTTTCCCTTGTGAGTGATTTTCTTGGAAAATTTGTAGTTCAAGGCTGGGAATTGGATGGAAGCAAACTTGAGGATCCAGGGTGATTCTTTGAGAAATGAGAGGGCAAATTTTGGGGTGCAACACTAACCACGCCTTTCGGTAAGACGGAGTATAGTTAAATACCGTAGTGATGTGGGGGATTATGGTTTTCACCTTCAATGACGGATCGTTGCTGACGAGTGGTAGGATTTCTTGACATATGAGATCATAATTTAGTTTTCGATGATCTTGTGATTGAGTAGAACT